AGGCTTCCAACAATGCCACGGAACTCGTGTTACTGTTCTGTTCTTTTCCACTTCGTTTTACTGACTTTTGCCACATTTCTATTATCCTACTTCTCGTGATCAGCCTGTTGCTTTCTATATCATATTCTCTTAACTTTTTCTTAGCTAACTGTATCATCACATAATTCTTGTGATGTGTTGCTAATTAAAACACTAGACATGATTAGTCCCAAGTCAGTATCCAAAATACACAACATATAATTGCCATTCCTTAACGCATGCAAGGTAAGTGTAAATGAAGGTTATTCAGCCGAATGTTTTGGATGGTACATTAAGATATTTCTATCTGTTCAGACTCAATAGCTGTTTCTCTGGGTGGTATTTTGACAACAGTGCCAAGGGCCTTCAGTCAGGGGTTGAGCCCTGTTTGGCTGAGCATTATAAAAACAATCCTCAAATAGATGCTTTGGTGAAATAGGCAAAGAATAGCAGTTTTGTATGTGGGGCAGTGTAAAAGGAAGTGTAAAGTGTGATCATCGGGGAAGGAAACACATGTAAAATCGTTGACCAACTAGAGCGAGAGTTTGTGTCTCCAGACTGGATGAGGAAAGCATCAGCAAGATCTTGAAAATAACCTGCAGCAGAGAAGAAAATTGGAAACACTTTTCCCTCCTTTTTATAAGTTTCTGAAGGGTTTTGTTCTGGTTTTTAGAAAGCCATTTCTGTAGGCTCTTGAAATTGAGAAGTCCCTGTTACTCTCAGCTCTGAGCCCCAATGATGGCCAGAGCACTGTAAAGGGCTGTTGACCTTTCCTTGGGCAGAGAGCATCTGAACTCCACAGATCTATGGGTACTGTTGATTATTCAGCGTGACTAGTATAAATATCGACAAGAAGCACTGCTTTCACTTCTTGGGATGATGGCACAAAAAAGTCTTTTTGTTTCTTCATATTCCCTTCACTTTCTGCCTGTGCCACTTCTGATTAGAGTGTTCTCTTGGAGCTTTCTGGAGTTACAAAATAAACTTCTACAATGTAAAACTGGCTACAAGAAAAATAAGATTTGCTTAGAGAGTTTAAAACAGAAAAACAGCCTGAACAGACAGAAGCTGGAAGCCCTTACACAGGGGAGATCAGTGGTTTGGCAAAAACCTCCAAAAGAACCCCAAATTTCTCAGTAAACCAAACATGTGGAAAAATAATAAAATTTGTTCAGAGCTGCAAAATGAAGCAGCCCACACGCATTACAGGCTTTTATAACTATGTTAGAAACAAATATTATAAATTTATCGGTCTTTTGTGTGAAAGAGATGCAATAATAGGGAAGATCCTGCTTTCTCCTAGCAGGATGCCAACAGTTGTCTTAAACACCTCTGTCAAGTACTGCAGCATTTGAAAATGTAGAAAGAACAAATAGTTTGCCTTAGATTAGTATAAGCCCTCAGGAACTTCCTGTTTTCATCATCTTCTGTAGAATGGGTGTTTTCCTACTAATATTTCTTATTGTTTATTCAAATTACTATACAGCAGTTTGTCTAATTGACTCAGGTTCCAAAATCCTACCTTTTTTTTTTTTTTAAGTTTATATGCCTGTTTATAAAGAGGGTATAGGGAGAAGGCATACTGTTTAGGTTTTAAAGCAACATGCTAAGTCTGAAGGTGTGAGCCGTATGTCACTTAGGTACCTCTCTGTTTTTGCAGAGTTGATGTGTTGTTCAAGTCCATCTGTGGCCATAAAGCAAGAGACCTAACATTACTCTGCAGATAAATATTGTCTGTACATCTGCTGCTAAATAGATAAAGGACAGAACTGGTAGCTTCAAGATTTTGTTTCCAGTTAGAAAGCAAAGGAAAATACACAGTGAAGGATTAGGATAATTTGTACTGATTTCTGGGAAATCTTAGAGGAGTTTTCATTTGGGGTTTTTTTTTTTTTGATTTTTGGTTTTACTGGTTTAGTTTTTGGTTTGTTTTGTTTTCCTGAAGGATTTAGTACAGAGAGCAAGCATATGATGACAGCTGGTAAACTGGAGGTCAGTTTTCTTGGATGGGTGGTGGTTCGAGGACAATGAAGGATGTTGCTGCGTGATAGGCATGCCTGCTTCTTCTCCCTGTGGTCTGTAGCGTAATGCTTAATAGAGCAAAGTCAGGCAAGGACTGCAAACAATTTGAATGTTCTGTGCCTCAGAATTTTAATGAAGTCATCTGTGAAGAAAAAGCTACAAACTGCACACTCACAATATATGACATCTGACTGTCATTCTGAGAGAGTTAATGAATCAGAGGGCATTGTGTCTTCTTTCTCTAGATCACTTGTTTGAGCTCAGCCCACAGCTATAGTGACCAAATGTCACTGTTCTTTTCATGCTTAGAATGAAATGGGTCTGACTTTCTCTCCAGTGGTTCTTTGGAAGCAAGGCTCACTGCCCCAGTTGTTGCTACCCAAGGCAAGAGTCTTTTACCATCCCAACCTGAGACACCAGTGAAAGACTGACTTTTGGGAGACTCTCCCTCTAAAAGCTGTGCTCTCAAAACATGAGGGTACAGGATGCAACCTGATTGCCCATGCAAGAATGGTTCCTTCGCTAGTGCTAAGTAGTCTATATATTTAGAAAAGTGTAAGAGCAGGCAAACAGCTAGTATTTGCTCTGGTTCTATCAGATGGAAAATCTCAGCCACACTTTTTTCCAATAGGGCAGATATGACATAACGTATTTGTGTTCCCATCAACAGGCTAATATCTGCAAAATTTGGTTGTTTTGATTCGCAGAAACGGACTCTGCAACTTGGAGAGAGTTATAGAGCAGGCATGTTTACTCCAGTGCCAGGGTCCGAGGGGATTTCTCCACAAAGCTTGCACACCAACAGCACATTTTTATAGAGTGTGGATATCCATATTAATTGGATTGCATAATACAAGCATACATATGCATAAGTAAGGCTGGGTTAGTTCAAAAGCTGGTGTCAGCAGTTTATCTTTGTACCTGCGTATTGCCTCCTGGTGGGTGTCTTTTGGGGGTCTTTGGGAGGAAGGCTCACAATCTTTCTCACCTTGTACTTTTCCTTGGAGCATGCGCAGATTCTCTTAGCCAATTTCTTGAACAACAAGAGTAGTTCCAGCTGGTTTACCACCTCTATCTTATCTAAAAGCATCAGTATATCAGTTTCTATCACCCATATATGGCTATCTATCCACTACAAAACCTAAACTTGTTAGAATGCATCTGCTTTCCAAGCACGCGTCACTTATTTTTGTTGAACATAGTAGTTCCTTGGTAAGTTTCCACAGAACAATCATGGCAAGCAGGATTATTAAGCAATATTATTATAAATTACTATAAGTAAATAAGTTGTAAAGCAGGTGATCATTTCCTTGTATCAGTTTCCTTTGGTCTTGAAAAGAAGCTTGTATCATTAGGAAGTGGGGAAAATAGTCTGGCATATTTGGGGATAAAAGTATTACTACTAAGAACTCGCCTGTTTAGTATAAGATATCAAATCTGCACAAAAAAAAATAAAAATTAGAGCATCTTGTCTCAAAAAATAAGAACATTTTAGTTTTACTAAGGTTAGGTGCATGCAGCCAAACCACCTTTACATATTCCATCTCCTTTCTTAAGTTTTTGTAGTTTCACATCTGATACCTACCAGTCACTGACAGTGACTTTCCTGCAGGGAAAAAAACATTGACCCTGAGAGTTATCTGATTTTTGGATTGAAAGTACTGTTCACTCACTCTGGAAATGCTGACTCACTTGACAGCTCAAAAAAATCCAAACCCAGAAAAGCCTTCTAGCACCTTTATGTGAGAACATCTGCTAGGCTGATAGAAATTAGCCTTCATTGCATTTATTTACTTGGCAATACTATACAGCGTTCTTTATATTGTTCTTCAAAGCATGGTCTGCTCTGTTGCTCTGTAGGATGGAGTTAGCAGTCTACCATGCTGAAAGTCAGCATGGTGGGTGGAATTCGAGAAATGTATCTTGGATAATGCAAGGTTTGCATAGAATTTCAATACTTTCTAATCATTGGCACTTAGGTTTGTAAGGATTTGAGGGGCAGATATCCAGAGAAAAATAAGAGAAATCGTGGTCCAAGGAGTCGGGGCTGGGAGGGGAGAAGTCGCAGTGAATCTGTAAGCATGTAATCAGGACGCCTCTCTGGAAAACAAAGATTTGTTGTCCATGTGCATTTTGCAATACAGAATTACAAGGTAAAAATGCATAACATTGCTAGGATTGTTATAATTACAGAGTAAAGCTCTCTTACTGGGTCATTCCATGACTCCTCTGGCAAGTAACATAGCTGAATGTGGTGGATGGAGATCTCCACTGCTTCATTCAGCCCATATCCTAGTGGGTTTGGACATCCTCTTGGATCACGTGGTGTTGAACCGGATCCCATCCCACAGAGGAAGACTGTGGGGAAAGCATCTGTGTCTAGGAAGCTCCTGAGGAAGTTACCTGCCTGCTGGACTATGCACTACCGGTGCAATATTAGTCCCAGCACGCTTCCCATTCCACAGGCTGAATTGAATACCATGGCTGTTGCCCATTAGGCTGAACTCTGCTCTGTTACTGCCATCCCTGAGAGCCGATGGTGCTGTGTGTATGATCTCAGATGTTAGGAGCTGGGTTGCTGAGATGCACAACCAGGATACAAACACTTCAGGGCACACACTTTAGTCAGACTTTAGACACAAGAGCTTGCCACAAAAGCTCAGGTACTTACTGATTTTTGGTGGTTGGGTGGAGGTTTTGTGGTTCGACTCAGTTTTTGCATTTCAGTGTCTTTGTTTCCTGTCCAAAGCCACTTGATTCCTTGTTGGTGTGGAGTAGCTTACTCCAGTCCTGCTTCAGGTCACTTCTTTTGTTTAAAAAAAAAAAAAAAAAATTACACAGTCTGTAACACTTTGAATCCAAGATCTACCTTCACTTATTTCAATGTTGTGACACATCATTTGTGCTTCAGGAAAGTCCTACTGGCCAATCTCAACCATTTATCTTTCTTTTTCTTGAAGGCTCTGATACTTCACCAGCTCGGGCGCTATAGCTTGGCAGAGAAGATTCTCAGAGATGCCGTCCAGGTGAACTCCACAGCCCATGAGGTCTGGAATGGCCTGGGAGAGGTGCTGCAGGCTCAAGGCAATGATGATGCCGCAACCGAATGCTTCCTGACAGCACTGGAGCTTGAAGCTAGCAGTCCCGTGGTCCCTTTTACCATCATTCCTAGAGTCCTTTGAGAGGGCATCTTGATAAACCGATTTTGGTCTGACTTCTGAGTGAGGAAACCCAGTGTATCAGGCTGCCTGGTAACTCGTTAGTTTGAAAAACTTCAGAGCTACAGGTAACAAACTCCAGTCTTTGGCGGGAAAGTGGCCAAAACAGTGACGTGATGGAATGTATTCATTAATGTTAGACTAAGAGGACAAAATGGCTAGTCAGAACCAAACCACTCATATCACCTACATTTTTGCCCTGGTAGTTTTAAAACATCATTATATTGTTCATGGATGATGTGCCATATTTTGTTAGTGATACTTGAGTGTTACATAAAATTATAATGGAATCAACTACCAAATGTAGAATAAGTTAAAATTCAGTGGCAGAGCAGACTATTTTTAACAAGGCTGTTAATAAAACTGTTCTCTTCCTGCCTCTCAACCTCTTTTGGCCCAAAGTCAAAATGTGAATTTTCTGTTTCCATCTCTATTTTAGTCCAGGCCAGAAAATCAGTTGAGTTCTTGTTTTCAGTTGTTAATAACTGTGATGTGTGGCTAACTGTTATCTCTATTTAGAGCAAAGGCTGAGTACAAGAATATTTATATTTTACCAATGTATGCCTGTTACAAAAAATATATTGGTTATTTAAGTTTAACTTTTTTATGTGAATTCAGAGTTTATTTATCGATGGAAATATGTAAAAAGTAAGCCTCAAATGGAATATTTACTGACACTCCTTATACATGACCCACACTTGGCTAAATGGGAAGATTATGTTAATAATAAAATGATTTTTAAATGCAACCTTTCCTGTGTCCTGGTTAAGAGCCCAGGGGAACATAGATGGCTTGTGAACACATTTTTATGATGTGGGGCCTGTGGCTGGCTAGCCTTGAAGATGAAGGACACCAAAATTAAATGCCCTGAGGCCAGTCTAGAGAAAAGAAGCTGCTATACTCTTTGCCAATGGTATTGTTACCTTAGATTTCAAGTTTCCATAAATCTTCACTACTACTCCTTTTTTATTCCTTCCACTCCACCTCTCAATGAAGCCAGATTACTCTGCCTCTATGTAATGCATAGACATTTACCTATACCTTGGTAGTGCTTGGGAAACGCATGTCAACTATTTACATGCTATTCTTCAGTTTTCTTTACTGTCTTCATAGTTCTTTCTCAACATCTCTTGCACTTTATCCCTTGAAGGAAATGTTGGCTGGTAATGTTTTACGGCCATATCAGGAGTAACAGGGCCAAATGTTTAGCAGACAAATACTTGCCAGAGTTTCTCTGGGATGTGTGGAGAAGAGTTATTCGTTGCAATGAATATTCAGGGTGTGTGAGCTGTAGAGTAGTCTGGTGTCTGCTGATTTATAATGTTGGGCTTGTATGGAGCCTGGGAAGAATTCCAGGTTCCACGTTAGACTGGGTGCTCCTTGGTATTTGTCTCAGTAAGTGGTTTTAAAGTGCTTAGCACAAGATGGCAGATGATTCAGAAAAAATAATGGCAAATGTTTTTCTTTGTCACTCGCCAGAGAGCTTACTCACCTCAAATGCGTGGAGGGTCCTCACTGTAACACGGGATCTGCGCACTCCAGAATCTCCGAAAAGACTTAAACTTGGAGGAGCTCTTCATTTTTGCCTCTCCTTTTCCCCCCTGGCACTTCATGTGCCTTTTAGGCTGAGGCTACTTTCAAATTGTATTTGCTTAGTGTTTAGACCATATGGTCTCTGTAAAATGGACCAAAAGTCTGTAAGAGGTAGTTTTCAAATCTGTTTAAAAGGCAGTAGAAATTGTGTCATCTTGCTCACTGCAAAAACATCAAAAGTTTTCCTTCCCCTTTTAGAGTGCCTGTTTTGCATGTTTTCTTCCTGCTGTCCTTGGCTTTATTTTTTTCTATTTGCCAACTGTTCTCTCTTTTCTAGTCCCAGCTCATAATATATGCTCTGGCCCTGCTGTCTTTTAGCACCCACTATCTGGTACCTGGTGTACCAAAAGATATTGCAAAACCTTTATTTGTTTAATTCAATTCCTCCTGAGCCTTTCTGCTATCACAGTTCAGTTAAATATGTAATACTTTTCACAGACATGCTCCTTCACAATATTTAATCCACCTTTTATTATAGTATCAAAGGTTTTCTAAAAGGCAGTTTGCACCTAGATCTGAGACTAGTGGCCTTTCTGAAGAGAGCTTTAGATGAAAGTGGAGAACAGGAGAATTCTGTAATAGCAGAATTTATCTTTGATTCTTCTCATTTAATTTAAAGTCCTGGGCTCTTTTGATAAACTCCCAAAGTGGAAAGGTTAGCAGTCTAATTGTGTCCTATCTTTTATTAGTGGAGAAGTTGTCACTGCTGTTGTGTATATCAGGTGAACCTGACTATCTGTTTCATTTTTCTTACACTGGAATCAGTTTCACTGTAAATCCACAAGCTTCTGCCTCTTGGGAATAGCCTCAGCTACCTATTTTTAAAAATGGATTATCACTGTAAGACTGTACATTCAGGAATTTTCTGGCAAAAGTGGAAATCCTTGAAGGAAATGAATTAACAACACTTGTTTAAACAGAGTTTTCAACTTTAAAAAGTTACTAGGTTTTACAGCTGTAATTATTGGGTTTTTAAATCAATTAAGAAGGCCAAGAATACATTTTATTTTAGTTGATACACAGAAAGATCTGGCTTTTGCAATCCGCTCTTAGACTGCTCTGGCATCTCAGTCCCAGGAGTGAAGCAAGCAATGCCAGTGTGAACAGCCAGTCCTGGGGAAGTATTCCCCATGGTGCCAGCGAGTCAGTGTCATCTGCATGAAGGTTGCTCCTGAGCTTTGTGGCTGAACAAATCTCTATGCGAATACACAGATCTGTGTGTGTTCTTGCTCCACCAGCCTGTGTCAGGAATAATAGCTGTTCACATGAATGGTGAGATAAATCAGGGGCTGATCCAGCTTAAAACTAAGGAAACCCTTGCTCCCTTGCTGCAGGGTTTTACTAAGCTCTGGGTAAAAGCTTAGTAAAGGCTTCAGGTAGTTCTTTCATCTAATTTACTGCACAAGTGGTAATACTAACGCAGAAGACAGGACTTCCCTTCCACACAGGAGCCCATACTTGCACCAGTTTAAAAAGGTTACTAAAAAGTTACTAAATTGTATTGTCAAGCACACTGTCACTATAATGAGAAGTTCCAGAAGCTTGAGATCTCCAGCCTTTCAAGAGGGATCAAATACACTTCTCTTATCCATAAGACTGGAGTAGCAGGTTTCAGAGACTTCCCTTACTCTGCAGTATGCTTGTGCTACTCAAAACAATTAACATTTGGTGTATTAAGCACGTGCTAACGTGTAACAACAATCTCTGCTGCACATGGTAAGAGGTCTGACTCTGCAGTACTTACAATAAGAAAACTTATTCAAGTAACTGGCTAAAGCTCATCTCTAATTTTGGTGCAGATAACCATTTTTACTCCATGCATTATTTAATTTCTTATTTTGCTTTCATGATTGATAGAGAATCACAGAACCAGTCCAAGCAGAACTAATCCAACTGTATCTTTTAAAACTTTTATCATTAATTATATGCATTTTAAACATCAAAGGCTATTTTTAAAAGTGCTATAATTTTCCTTCAAAATCTGTTTTTTCCTGAGTAGACTGTTCTACTCTGGAATGATAGTGTAAAGCCTTGGGTATATTGGAGATCCAGATTTACCTCACTAATTCTTTGTTTGTTCAGTTGTCAGTTAAAATGACATTTTTCTTAACCATCAATCTGGCATCCTCTCCTTCCTCTAGCATCAAGTTAAAAACCTTGTATGCTAAAATATGCTTTCAGTAAGTACACTGCTCCAGCATTTCATCTATTTAACCTCATCATCTCCAGACTAAACTTCTCTGATCCTACCAGTGAGCTATGCTGGAATGTGTTGCACTTCCACATGCTTCTATATTACTACAAAAAACTAGCTGATAAGAATCCTTGTTGTGGACAATAGGAAAGATGATTTAAAATATTCAGCTTTTGGCCTGTGTTGGTTGTCATCGCTAATTGTGCGAAACTTGTTGGGAGTCTCTCGCACTTGCAAAGCCAGCAAGTGAGTTTGAAGAGATGGGACAGCGAAGTTAAACCTAAAGAGAATCAGAAAGAAATGCAACCCCAAACTTTTTTGAGAAGAGTTCATGTGGGGTGGATGTTGGTCAGACTTCATTCTTCTCTGTTTCAGGGATGCATATGGTCCTGATATGCTGGTTTGCTACCACCCTGGTCACCTGGTCTTTCTAGTTCCCAGTTTAAAGCACCTTTGTAGCCCAAGTGCCTGGTCTCCCTAATTATTATTCCGAAGAGAGAAAAATGTATCTTTTAATTTCTAAATTCTTTGAAAAGAGGTAACCACTTCTGTCCGTCCCCTGTTACATACCCAGTCATGGGACAGACAAGCACTAGGCACCACTGTACTGTTATTTTTGCCTGGACATTTTTGGAGTACAGCAGCTGACAGATGTGATCATTTGGATGCAGTCCATAAGGCACGGCAGGAGCACACGGCAAAACACCTGAAGGTAGTAGGAGGGAGAGTGCTTTTACCTTTCTAAATATGCCTTCACTTAGAAAACTTATTTGGAGGACCTGAGTGTAGAAACCTATTTTGGACATTAAAGGGTCAATGAAATGTGTCATTGTTTTGCTGAATTATTTTCCTTTGGCATCTCTGTAGGAGGGATTATCCTAGTCTGCTTCATCCAGGTATGAATCTCTACAGCATGCGCCCCCCATCAACATGACTAGCTCTTGGCTCCCTCTATGCCTCTAAAATTGCTTCCCCAAGAAAGTGATTTCACTGTGAAATTGCTGAAGGTGCCCCATCTATCTGGCTTGAATAAAATAATCAGTAGCCATCAGACATAATAAGGTAATGATATCGTTGGTGCTTTCCACAGTGCTGTGGCTTTAAAAAGGTGTGAAGTCAGTGCTTTGTTGTTTGTTTCTCTAGCTGAGCCCCCCTCCTCTGCGAGGATGGTGAAGCTGGAGCATGGTCTGGTTGGAACAGCTGAGGGACAAACCTGATCAGCATGTGTGCCCTTGGGCTTGCCACCGAAGAGAAAAATGAACTTGCTTACAATTTTTTTAAGGGTAATTTTTTTCTACACGCATGCATGCACTCAGGTTACAGAAAACCAGATTACAGGTGCGTTTTGCACTTATGACAGAAAGTTTTCAGAGGACTCAAAGTTCCTCTGTACGTTTACTTCAGCTCCTATAAAGCTGTCTCCTCTATAAACAGGCTTTGCTTTTCCAATAGAAACTTGGCAGTGCCAGAAAAAGAAATTCTGACCCCAATTTTCACTTCCAACACATGTCAGATGTATATCAAATAAGGAGCCTGAGACTTTATTATTAGTGCAGGTTTTCCCAGGATTGTTGTTTTCCAAACAGTACTGACTACTAATGTAGGACTGGAGGGGGCAACAGAGGCCATAAAACATTCAAGTTGCTTCCCTTTCAAGTGCCCTGCAAAAATAGCTCTTTATCTGGAGTAAACCAGCAATCTTCTGACTGAGCAATTATGTTTTTTTTAAGGGTCCCTTCCACAAGGGTATTTTTTTTCTTTCTTCTTTTTAATCTTGCAAGCAAGTGTTTAGGGTAGCAAACTACTGGGTGCAGGAACGGGAGCCCTGCAAGCTGCAGAGCAAATCCTGTGACCAAATCACCCAGCGACTGCCTTCACTGACACAGGACCTACATGATCTTATGCTAAAATCACTTCTTCCCACGCGTGTACTTTAGGAACAAGTCCTGCTTGCCTGA